TGTGTGTACACTATGAAATGTCACGTCGCCGACCACCACGGCGCACTGGAGTGAATTTACTGCCTCAGCACGGTCCCTTGTGTTTGTGTTCTTCCTCTCTTCCCTGACCTTCTTTACTGATGAATATGTATGGCCAGGTCCGTTCCTCAACAACAGTTCGTGCACCGGGCACTGGGGCAACGGAGAATACTAAAATCAGATCAATCACCAGCATTATCAGTGCAAACCCACCACACACTCCATCTAGTCGGTCTAGCTGGAAACATTGGAAGGAAGAGAAAGTACATTACATGCTGAAGAATTAGGCTACCAACCAGCTGATGACACATGGAGTCACATTGTTGCCGCTATATGGTAACAATTTTCCAATTGGATGACACATGCTGCTGGTCAGCGAGTGTGTACTGTATGTGAGCATGTGGCAGAAGGATGGCTAATTGTCTCCTCTGGGAAGAGCAGACCAGGGCAGAAATGCTCCACTGTGAAGAGGGGCCAGCTAGCTTTGATGCGCTTGCAAAAAGGGCCTAGAAAGTGAAAGAGAAAACAACCAATCAGTCAGCAAGGGAAAAAAAAATACAAAATGGTTTTGGACAAGACAATTGTATTAACTTTAGTAAAGTTGAAATGTGTTTTCTGTGCACTTAAATCAATTGTAAAAACAATAACTTTCAAACAGGTTTCCCAAACAATCAACCTGTCTTCCATTGTTCAGATAACATCCTGCACAGTGTTATTATCAGTAGTGAAAAGTTAAAAAATAAATAAATAAATAAAAACATAGCTGCGAAAAACTGAAACTAAAATGACTGCAAAACTGAAATGTAATTTTTTTTTGGTTATGTGGTATGTTAGAAAACAAACTTTTTTCAACCTGCCTGCATTAAATGAAAATGCCACTAGATACCATTGGATACCAAGTTGAAAATTGTAAATAAAATATATTTGGTGTATGTTTAACAAGAAAATACTAGCTCAATCTTTCTACTTCAAAATTCATGTTTAATTCAGTGTGTCACTTGCCGTTATTTTGTAATTTGTGAAATTTACAAGCAATTTCTGAGTGAAAATTATTTTTGCACCAAATATTTTTGTGTGTGAAACAAAAACTACAGAAAAAAATACTAAACTAAAAATGATATCATGAAATGCAATAGAAATAAAAAATAAACAAACAAAAAAATAAAAAATACTGCCCCAAACTCAAACCATTACTTGAACAAAAATGATTTAAGCAAACAAACTTACTTATACTTATGAATTACTGATAGTCTCTGCACAGGATAGGAAGAAGTGTTTTTAGCATAGGAAAAGTTTTAAGGCTGGACTACTGAAATCTTAAAATCAGCATTAGAAATAATGTGACATTAATGTAAAAACTTGTTCATCTTCAACAAGTGCTAAATTACTATTGGTCTTGCAATCTTTTGTAAATTTTTGTCCACAATAATTTTGTGATATTGAGGTCATGCAATGTAAGCATTGGGAGCGGTTGTTTGTGTGAATGTGTAGTTGCAATCATCGGTGATGTGATCCATAATAATCAATCAGCTGTGAGCGGCTGGTTCCTCTTTGGGGCAGGTATCCTACCGGCCATCAGCCAATAAGCCAAGGTCTCACACAGAGCAGAATCAATACACACACTCATACACTCAGCAGCTGAAGAGCCTTAAGAAGTTGCTTAAAGAAGCCAGCTTTTAAAAGATGGGACTGCTGGAAATAGATGGACAGGCTGATAAAGAGAGGACAATAAAGTCAAGTAATGGTTGTCAATAAAAGCAAATCAGATGATTAATTTGTTCTTCACACAATGATGTTAGCAGCGTACAGCACGTCTCACACGGAAATTCAAGAAAAACTGAATTTTCAGTCAGTGTTTATTTCTTTTTCATGCCAGACTTGAATCTATGGTTTGAAGTTTTCATTTGTTGATTTGAATCTATGGTTTGAAATATAATGTAATGTAATATAATATAATATAATATAATAAACCTAAAATGGAAATAAAAATGTAATAAATCTATATAAAAAAACAAAATGACAAAAGCATATAAATTACTAATTATAAATTAGCATATAAATTAACTAATATTCAAATGGAAACTGAAAATATAAAAATAAAAGCTTACTTAAAATATTACTAAATACTGTAATAGTATATACATATAACAATACTAAAATAACACAGGGTTTTGAGTTATTTTTAATATATGGTTTGAATTTTACACTTGAATCTATGGTTATGAATCTTGCATTTGTTCATTAGGTTTGATTCTTTTATTCATTTATCATTTATTATATGCATTATATATTCTTATAAATAAAAAATAATGAATACACAATGAATATACTGTATGCATAAAAATCTTTATAAAAAATACTACCAATATTTAAATCTATATTTGAACATCTTCCAATTACAACTCTGATTTTTGTATGATTGTCAATAAATAATAATAAGACTAATACTATTTGATATTCTATGTCATGCTATAATTTCATACTTTGTAATTCTAGTAGGTTCAGTCTACCAGGCTGGTTCATGGACTGTGGGCACGGTGAGCCTCCTGTGGCCTTATTACTCAGCTATCTTGCAAAGGTAAGGAGGGTTCGGAGATGCTCACAAATCTTATGCAGTAATGATCTCCAAAGGGACTTTGCTTTTAGAGTCCCGGCCCTTGAGCTACACAGCAGCTATTCTTTCAAAACGGACTTAAACTAGAGAGATCTGTACACGAAAGCCCCATCTAATGTGACAGGAACGGAGGTTCTTCCAACAGGTAGCCTGTCACCGAATAGCTGTAAACAAAATACTGATTGCTGCAGGGACCGCAGACACAACAAAAAATGTCCTACCATGATGTTACCAAACTGAAGTTCCATAGGTCTCCGATACTGTGCTTCCAAAGAGCTCTTCATCACCTTCAGCTGGTTGAAGGAATTAGAAAAAATAAGACAGACGAAAGCATGGTTGTACAAACTCCTGACAAGTCACAAAGACATGACTCGACATAACTGGAGCAGAGCCCCCTTTTCACCTTCCTCCTCCGCAAAAAAATCTGCACTCGTCTGCACACAAACACTGGGAAACGTGGCTCCCGGCAAATCTACAAGAGGAGGACAGGCAGCCGAAATCAGCATGTATTGATGGTAGATATGTCTGGATTAGCCTGTCGCGTTGCTTAGCATGGCCAGAGCAGATTTTCTCAATTTTTCTCACACGAGATTGGATTGTGGTGAGTTTTTCCTTTGTTGTGCATTTCCTAACATTGGGCTATAATAGTCACTGCTGTACGCCATCTGTACAATGCAGTGCTCATATTGACAACACAGGAAACATTCGGCACACTCAAACCTGAGGATATTTCACAATGGACTGGTACTGTAGCTCTGCAGATGGGTTAATTTTGTCTTTCTGTGTCACCCACGGCTGGTAAAGTCGCGGGGGTGGAAGAGGAAGGAGCTGTCGTGCTGAAACAGACGCATCCCTCAGCAGCTCTCAAGAAATCCTACCAACTTAAGTAGAGGTGTTTCTTCTCCACATATCTGAACGGCCTTATAATTAGACACATTTGCGCAGCGTGACTGCAATGCCACTTTTCTTGATCTTTTTTTTTTTTTTTGGCACTTGCTCTGTATACTTTGCATTAGATGTTTATACTGCACTGATCCCTTTAAGTCTACCGGTGCTGTACAAGATCCTATCATCTCGCAGAGATTGCCTGAGAATTGAAAATTTGGAAATTTTTTATAAATATACTTTTTTTTACTATTTGGTGCCTGATTAGAAATGATAGATTCACTTTACAGTGTATTTATGGCTTTTCAATGACATATTGCATAATATTACCAAAGCTAAAAAAAAAATGTCCTCTGTTTTTAGGCTACATTAATTTAGTAAGCTAACAGCTATGACCAGCACTAAGTGGTAATGAATATTTCTTGTGGTTAGGTTAACTATTACAATAACACATTTTTGATCAGGCACTGAGGAAGGGGGACAGGATTTACACTCTTCAATTAAAATTGTAAGAACTGCATTACACAAGAGTCATGTATAGAAGTTATTGAGCCTTAACCAATGAATTCAGGTTGGTAAATCATTGGTTTTGCACTTAAAGAATGGCTTCACAAGTTTGCAGGTCAGTGTACGTCAAAACTGCTACAACGGCACAAACTGAACGATTAGAAATGCAACGTTTATATACATTTTTTATTTAGGCTTTATTCAAGTGGTCAACCCACAAATCGACAAACATGTTATGAAAAAAAAACTGTACATAATGTATTGTTAAGCTTACATTACGTACACTACTGTTCAAAAGTCAACAAAGGGGTCAATAAATTTGAAAAGACATTTTATTTAGTAAGGGAACATTAACTTGATCAAAAGTGAGAGTAAAGACTTAAAATGTCTAACACTGTTCTTTTAAATTTTTTATTCATGTATCATGGTTTCCAAAAAAAATATTAATCATCACAATTGTTTTTAGCATTGATAATAATAAGAAATGTTTCTTAAGCACCAAATCAGCACATTAGAACGCTTTCTGAAGGATCATGTGACACTGAAGACTTGAGTATTGACTGTTGAAAATTCAGCTTTACCATCACAGGAATTTTAAAATATATTAAACTAGAAAATGGATATTTACAATATTACCATTTCTACTGTATTTTTAATAAAATATATGCAATATATACTTCTTTTAAAAACATAAAGAAATATTAGACCCTAAACTTTTGAACAGTTGTGTACATACCAAAATAATGATTTGTGAACGTTTTGTTGAGGTTGAGTTAAATGGAAAAGTATAGTGCGTAAGAATTTTGAGTTTCAAATTTACACCTGGGCGCCATCAATGGACATTGAATGACGGCGAAGGTGTATGTCCATTCATAGAAAACAATCGGTTCGAGTTGCTTGTCACATCTGGTGTGAGACCCCCGTAAGTCTGAGCAGTACGTTAAAGGGATGAACAGATTAACTAGATCACACAAGGTTACTCAGTGAGTATTTATTATATTCCATTGAGTCTGAGCTGTAGTATACATACATTGCGTGTCATTCCATTCTAAATCTAGCATGTTGCTTATCCAGGGCTGATCAGCTGCACTGCATAGAAAGGTTGCAGAGAAACATGCTTGATCGTTTAGAAAGCAGGTTGACAGAGATCAACTGAGCCCATGAGGCAAGCTTCTGAAAGGTTTAATCTCAGCGTTCCTTCTCACATTAAAATGTCATTGTATTTCCATCTCCCAAGACTATCGTCTTGCATAACAGGTCTAAAACGAAGCAGAACATCACAACTAGGGCAGCCCCAGAGGTTTGCCTTGCCACTGTATAATATCTTACAGCGCATTTCATTTATGACTGTTTTTTGATCACTGCAGTTTGCTACTTGCGTAATAATCTGAGATATAGCGGTCTGACTATGGAGAGATCCCACAGTGATGTTTGTGTGGTGTGACAGTAGCTCTCACTCCAGCAGCAGTCTCCTCAGTTCCTGTGGGCAGGTTACTGGGAGGGCACAGGCGAAGTTCTCGCACACGTACGCAGTGGCTTTGCCATCCTGGGAAACCAGGGTGGAGAGAATAGGCAGCCTCTGATAAAGGAAACCCTCTGTGTTACCATCTGCCAACATCAGGACCTGAAAAAAAGACAGAGGAGAAAAGGGGGAAGGGAAGAAAAACAGAGTCATAACTGCCATCATGATGACAATTAGGTGAGATGGTGGGAGCAGGAGAGCACAAGTCATATACCTTTAATGCAAAATTTATGACCCAAAGGGCTCCATTTGCTTTCTTGGCAAGTAATAATCCACAATAAAGTACAGGGCAAGGCGATTATAGTGACAGTCCCATCAATGATCCATTTCTACAGTTTTGTTTATATCTGGGACCTCTATTCCCTTGGGGGTTTACAGCAAGCCATAGGCAAAGCAGCTCTTATGGGATGAGATGACCCTGACCTGTCCTTGTTCACATTTACACCTTTAACTCGTCAGCATAAAAAAACACAATATTAATAAAACACTACTAACACAATATTACACCCCTGTGTGGCACAGTCGCTGACCAGGTAATAATCTCAGAAACATCAGCCACCTGAGCTCTGTGTGATGGAATTTTAGTGGCATGTTAAAATAAAAATACAATCTAAGTTTGAGAATGAAACCATAATGTTTTACAAATAAATGTGTTGTGATTTGAAAATTCTGCCAAAATGCTTTGAGAATAAAGTTGTAATGTTACAACAGTAAAGTTTTGAGAATATAGTCAGAATGTTGCACAAATTAAGTTGAAATGTTACACAAAGCTGCAATGTTTTGAGTATAAAATTGTTACAAGAATAAAGTAATGCTTTGAAAGTCATGATGTTCGGAGAATTAAGTCATAAGTTATGTGGGGAAAAAAACCCTAATGTTTTAAGAATTAAGCTATAATGTTACTAGAATAAAGATACAATGTTTTGAAATAATCATAATGGTCTGAGAATGAAAAGAAGACCTGTTAAAAAATAAGTTAAAAATAAGAATATCAATGTTACAAAAATAAAGACAAAGTTAGGATATTAGAGGCATGTAAATAAAGTATATAAATATTTTGAGATCAATATAATGGCAAAAATCACAATGATAGACAAGTTTGTTAATGCTCTGAAAAATAAGTCAATGTTCTGAGAATGAAGTTGTAATATTTTGAGAACAAAGTCAATGTTTCAAGAATAAAATCATAAAATTAGGAGATTAAAAATGAATGAAGTATAAATAAGTATTTTTGGAGGATAATGTTAAGAATAAAGTTTGTTGTAATGTTTAAAAATAAAGTCATAATGAGAATGAAGTTGCAATGTTTTGAGAATACAGTCAATATAACAGATGGATGTGAAGGATTTAGGTAAATCATACTTTTAGTTTTGATTGATAACAAATATTTAATCTAATAATGCTACAAATATATTTTCTTTATGACTTTTTTCTCAAAATATTAAGACTTTGATTTTATAATGTTAAAAGGCCTGTTACAAGATTATTCTAAAAAAAAAAAAAAAACACATTTCATTACACCAAATACACAAAATACTGTTCTTTTCAGCAGCATCATATGACTCCGTTAAATAAAAAGCATTAAAAAAGCAATTGTAGCTCTGTGCAATAAAGCTTGTGCCTTAATAATTAAATTCAATTGATCCATGCAGACTGCAGCATCACACCCCTCCCACTCCTTCACCTCGTTCACGGGGGGGGCGCGGAGTCTGAAATAACTCAATCAGGGCCATGTCCAGTCGGGGGGCTGACTGGCACAGCAGCAAGGGAGGACACTGTGGTAGCTACACTAGTTTCTGCCTCCTGTAGCAGAGAAGAAAAAACCTTTAACTGAACAATACCACAGCAGAATGGGAAACAGCGAAGAGAGAAAAACAAGAGGCTGAGCTGCCCAGTGGCCAAGAGTTACCGAAGGGGAAAGGATGAAAGAGTAAATCTACTTTTCCTCAGTGAGACGACTTTACCTCCAAGCCCAAAGCTCAGTGAAATCCAGGAGGAGGGCACGGGAAAGGACTCGTGAATGTGACAGAGGTTAAATCTTAGGACAGCTCTCAAGGCTCAGTTTAGAGCCCGTGTTTTGGAAGATTTTCCAGGTCTACCAAGAGCCAGACATTCTCTCTGCTTTCTGGTTTTGACACACTCTTGTGTGATTTTTTGACAGGCGTGGTTAACAACTCAACTCTGCGAAACCTGTCCCTGGACTTCTAAGCACAATATATTGTTACTGTCTGTTTGCTAGGATCTTCCCGTTATTGCATCTCAGGGGCCGAGACAATTCCGCATCATTACTTTCCCGCTAGCAGCCTGGCAAGGCTTTCTGTCATATTTGTCGTGACCTCACGCAGGCTGTCTCCAGACTGACTCAAAGAACTGTGACAGTCCACTGAGGCAACATATAAAAAATGTCAAGCAGACATAACATAAACTGTTCATTTGCGAAGTTTGTTGTAATACTGCAGTGTTTCAAACCACCCTCAATAATTCGCAGTTTAAAATTCCCATCATTTTAGTGCCATGTTAAAATAAAAAATATGATTTAGAGAGCAAAATGGAAATTTTTTGATAATCTCATAACAGGGCTTTTACGACAATAAAGTCGAGAATAAATTAACAACATTACAAGATTAAAGTAGTAATATCTCCAGAATAAAGTTTCAAAATTATTGTAATCAAAATCTTATATATAGTACTAAATATAAATACCAAAAAGTGTAACTGGTTATCAGTGCATCATGGAGGAATATAATAAATCTAGGAGAGGTCTAATATACACCGATCAGGCATAACATAATATTGTGTTGGTCCCCCTTTTGCTGCCAAAAGAGCCCTGGTCTGTCGAGGCATGGACTCCACTAGACCCCTGAAGGTGTGCTGTGGTATCTGGCACCAAGATGTTAGCAGCAGATCCTTTAAGTCCTGTAAGTTGCGAGGTGGGGCCTCCATGGATCGGACTTGCTTGTTCAGCAAATCCGACAGATGCTCAATTGGATTGAGATTTTGGAATTTGGAGGCCAAGTCAACACCTCAAACTCGTTGTTGTGCTCCTCAAACCATTCCTGAACCATTTTTGCTTTGTGGCACCATGTGTTCCCCAGGTAAGCGATGCACATGCACCCGGCCATCCACGTGATGTAAAAGAAAACGTGATTCATAAGACCAGGCCACCTTCTTTCGTTGCTCCATGGTCCAGTTCTGTGCCCACTGTTGGCGCTTTCGGCAGTGGACAGGGGTTAGCATGGGCATCCTGACTGGTCTGCGGACTGTGATGCACTGTGTAATCTGACGCCTTTCCATCAGAACCAGCATTAACTTCTTGAGCAATTTGAGCAACAGTAGCTCGTCTGTTGGATCGGACCACACAGGCCAGCCTTCGCTCGCCACATGCATCAATGAGCCTCATAATGTTATGCCTGATTGATGTAATTATAATTACATATTGTATAAAGTGCTGCAGGGATGATGTTTTTTTTATGCCAAATCCCAGAAACAAGTTAGCATTTTGGACTTCCAGTTCCATCGTCCTGAAGTCAATAGGTTTTTTAATTGTTTTTTTATTAAATTCCTAAGACAGGGGTGTCTATATTAGAGTAAAACGGCTTCTTGGACCAGGAAAAAATGTAGTGTGGGACTTGATTTTGTCCAATGATTGGATCATTTGTTGTTGTTTGTTAATCAGTTATTGTTATTTGCTAATTGCTGCGATCTCATGTGAATGGCAGGTTGCTGGAGGGGAGGCACTATTGCCTCAAGTGTTGTTCCATTGGATATTGTGAAATGAAGCTGGAGAATTCTGTGTTATTGAATGATATGAGTGAACTTGTGTATCTTAAATAAGCCTACTGAATCGAAGGCCCTGTTTACACCTGGTTTTGAGATGCGTTTTGTTCAATCGGATCACAAATAAATGAGGTAGACATTCCCATTTCCACCTAGTGTTTTAATCTGTCTCTTTTGTCTGCTTTCGCCTACTTCTGTCTTCATTTTGTTCGAGGGGAGGGGAGGGTATATTGGTGGGTAAATACATTGGCTTTTTAAAAATACGTTTTCGCAATTTACATATGAACCCAAAATGATGACAGAAAAAGATAAAGAGAGCCGCAGCTTTCATTTGTGTTCTCATAGCCACAAAACCATGCCAAATGCTGTGGATGCATGTTAGAAGTCAGGACTGAAGGAGAACATTGTGCCTGGTACGTTTTGTCTCCAAACCAAACTTAATAGGTGTAAACAGGGTCGAAAGACTGGAATACACTACATGACTTTTCAACACATTCTAACCCAGATTTGAAGCCTGGATGAGTCAAAACTAGTTGGCGAAAGCCAGGACGAATCTGCAGATTTTGGGCAGCTGGAGTTGAGCATTTTCACAGAAAAAATCTGTATATGATGGGCATGATTTCTTAGCTTCAGACTGTGATTCCATACAGTTAAGAGGATCAGTGTCAGAGGATCAGAGGATCTCAGTCGTTTAGTATATGATGCCAGGTTTTCCTCTGTAACCATACAAAGTCAGCAAGTGTATGATGCCTCGTGTTTTAAAATCTGTTCTGGTTTTAAAAGTTGTGTAGTCTATTCCAGCATTAACTGCTACAGCTTTTTCTCATTTCTGTTTACTGCTCCTATATATACAATATATACTCCGATCTAGTGCCACTTTTTTGGAAGTACTGCCCGCTTCCTGACAGCAGTTTTACCGTTGTTTATCTTGTTACCTGATCTCTTGTCTGAGCCCCTATTTTAGCCAGTAGTTTCATGTCTTTTGGATGAGTCTGGTAGACTAGTGTTTTGGTCTATCTCTAGCTGCTGGCTCCGCTGGTATTGTTTGGATTACATCTCAGCTTCTGTGTTTTGTGCTTTTGCTACAAACCCTTCCGCACATGCCATCTCTTACTCCTCTGTTTTCTGATTCACAAATTCCCATAAGCTAAGCCGTGATTCCTTCCCAGCTAGCATGCACTGATATCCTTCTTCCAGACTGTCAGCTCCTACCTACTCTCACCTAAACACACACACAAAATCAGGCACAAACACTCACACACACAAACAGTTGATTAGTCTGGGGAATTTCATCAGCTTCTTCTCCTGGCAGGATGGAGCCTCTC